AAACCATCTCTGGGAGGGCCCCTCACCACGGACAGGAATAGGTTGTACATATGTCGTCATAATCAATGAGAAGATATGATGGATCATCATCATAAAGTGATTGAGAAGAGATTGTTATTTAATCTAATTGCCATTCTGATTAATATATTGAAGATTTCTATCTGGTAGCAGTTTATTATTTTAATAGTTTCGGATATATTTTATATGAAATTGTTCTTTAGTGATAGATTGAATGCAACCTTCTCTTAGATTGCGATGAATATCACTTGTGTAATGGATAAAACTACTGAACACTGGTCGTGAAGTTGCGCCTGCCCAATGAAATGACTATATGGAGTTTTCTGTATAATTTTATTAATTTAATTAATTTTCCCTTTATTATTATGTAGAATACTAAATTAATATTCATCGTTACGTTTACAGCACATTGCGTTTTATAGAACAATTATTAAAATGAATAATTTCGAAAAATAAAAGCAGTATTCATAATTATTATGTATTTTTTAAATCAATATATAAATAAATAATGACTTCAATTAAACGAAAATAATAATAATTTACTTTAAAAATTAAGACAAAGTTATATTGCAAAGAGCAGAAATACGGCAAATTCTCTACATTTATGCAAATTAGATTATTACATTAATGTTTAAAGTATAAAACCGTAAATATTAACTTATTTTATATGGAATTTATGTGTAAAAATGTGTAAATGATAGCATTTTAAAACATATTTTATGAAAAGCAATTTACTCAAGAGATATTTAAAGCAGTTTTCATCACCAGACATCATTAATTGTTGTGGAAACTGAATTGTTTGAAGGTACGAATAGTATGTATACCACCATTGTACTTTAATACTCATAATATTCTACTGTTTGTTTAGTTGAAATATTAATTAAGTAAATGGCAGAGGCCTATCCACCACCCGAAGAAGAAGAATTCTTTAAGCCGGGTAAGAGTAAGAATGGCAAAAATTTAAATAATGAGAAAAATTCACTTATGAAATTTAATATAAAGTTCCAGAGGAAGGAGCTCAGAAATACGGTGAACGTTGTCCAGTATGCGCCGATTGCACTGATCTAGAAGATAAATTCGACTGCGATGTATGCCCGGCGTGCAACGAATTTTTTGAAGTAGTAGTTAGAGGTTCAAGAGTTCTGAACTGTCAATTCTTAGGAAGTTGTGATGTGACTGTAGCCAGCGGTAATATCTGTCACTTTTGTAAAATGAGTAAATGCTACTGTGTTGGGATGAATTCTTCAAAAGTCTTTCGTGAGTAACTTAAAATTTTCATTAATAATCCATCTGAACGACCAGATATGTAAATTAACTTCCCACTCTAGTTCTTAATGAAATAGTTATAAAACGTATCATATTTTAAAAACACGAAATCAAGAATTGCATCTTGTTCGCTTAAACACAAAAATTAAATTTTACAGTGGATGCTGCTCATTATGAATTTAGAAAGAGAAGAATGACCGCTCCTCCTCCTCCTGTATTATTCTTTTATCTTAATTTTTTAAGTTTGACTCCTTTTGTCTTTCTCCCCATATTAAACCCCCACTTCTTTTTTATTCCACAGTTACCTCAACCATTTCGGCTTAACTGGGAGAACACTCAATTCCTAGATTGTCTCATTTACATGGAGCAGCATTACTATCAATGGCTAAATCTTTCGAGAGAATATCAAAGACTATCTGTAGACGACAAAGTAAATATCTCTTGTATAATTTTCCAATATCTCCTATTTGAAATGACATTCTTATTTTCAGATACTCTTAAAACAAAGAAGTTATTTAAGAGGAACGGCGTTGCAGATGATGGAAAGATCAATGTTTGCTCACGATGTTTTATGGCTCCATAACTGTTTCTACGATCCCTATGCTTGCGATATGCCGCCTCTACGAGTAGTAGGATGCTTAATTCTCAATCTTGTGGTAGATTTCAGAGATGCCAACATCAGTATGGATCAGTTTAAACTTTTAAAAGTCAAGTTGGCATTGAAAGATGGTAAAAATCTTCGAGTAAATTTTCGTTTTCTTACTACTAATTTTCTACTAAATTGATTTAATCTTCATTCTTCAGACGTTAAAATCGAAGATGAACACGAATTTCCTGGATATCTTCATCAAGATATGTCAACAATCGAAGAACATATGAACATACATGTCAACGAAGGTAACATTTCTCTACGTAATGCGGAAGATTTAACTATTATCTCCGTAAGCAGGTAAGTTTTTGAAATGATTCCTCGATAAAATTGATAATTCTAACTTCCTTGTAGTTAGTTCTGTTTTTTTTTTTGCTTTCTAGGCTGTTCGAATATTCAGTATATCCAGATGATTATGAATTTCCTCAACATAGAATTAATGTTGTGCGTGATGAGGGTGGAGCTCAAGGACAAGCATGAATTTCACAAAATTAGTGCAGTTAATGAAAATTTTTTTATAATAGACTAGTAGGATGAGATTTTTGTTTTAAAATATTGTTAAGCTTTTTATGCTGATTAGGCTCCAAAACAATAAAAATGTATTAAACTAATAAAGTAACGAATAAATTTGTTTTTTTGAATTAACATGAATGATGATTTTCGATTTGTTAGAAAAACTAAACTGCAAAAAGAGTACTTTTTAATAGTAAATTCGTGTAACAAATACAGTCAAATTTATATTCGATTGTATTTAGTGATGTAGTTAGGTCGTTATCTTCCAGCAGGCGAAAGAGTCACAAACTGGAAATTGATCTCGACTTAATCTCTGACCAGTCGTGTCTAGTCCCTTCTTGAAATTTCCCTTAAGAAGTTAAATATGTTTAAGCCATGAGCCTGCTACATTTAGAAAGATTTGCTCAAACGATACATTTACAATACAGGTTTGTCAGTTGGATTTTTGTGGCACAAAACCATTGTTTTGCTGTGCTATCTCACAATAATTCTACAATGTTTATCAATGTTTTAATAAACCATCAAGATATAAAAGGAAACCACGACGACAAAAGTTTAACAAATAGCAAGTATTTACAAGGTACAAAAACAAAACATATTAGTAGCATAATACAACTGGATTAAACATCCAAGTTTAATTGGAAATGTCCAGAACCACAGAAAAGTTTGGCCTATGCCCCAACACTACAGACGGACGGACACACCAATACCAATTCTCAAACGAGTAAGAATAATCTGATCCATCATATTATTAATCTATTATCTAGTTTTCTATGACTGGATTATTGTGGACTTCATTGCACGCATCTTGCTTAAAATCTGTACTTAGAAAGATGGTATAAATACGCATTAAATGTTTAACTCCTCCACAATCTGCATCAAAAATGTTCGATTGTGTATTCAACCATACCTCTGACAAAAATGGCGGCACGTGGAGTTCTCAGCAACAAAGCTAAAAGTATGCTGATTACATGAAATTTAGTACCGCGTATGAGTCTTATATTACTGGCTCTACAGAAATCTGAAAGTTATCAACGTACCTGTAGAAAACAGACAAAAGGTGTTGACTTCTTACAAACACTTCGGGTATCCTTTGTCCAAAATTCGGTTTGAAAGAGAGACAGATAATTGTTTATCCCTAGAATATACGTTAAATGTTTACCATTCGTTCTAAGACCTTACAGAGAATAAAGTCTATAATTATAGAAATTTCTGAAGTCTTTTCAAGTTTTGAAATGGGAACTGCAATGGCTTCTAGATTTCAGAGATTGATTCCAGGTCGGTTCAGATTCTTTTAAACAGTGTCATTAGATGAAGCAGCAATTGTTCTGATAAATTTTAAGCATACTGTGGAAGTAAAACGTATACTTAACTTCAGGTTATTTCAAATGGAAGCCATAGAGTCCATTACCTTTTTTTTCTTTTCGTACGCACGTTCCGATTTTTCCATAAACTTGTGCATAGTCGAGGGACCTATTCTGAGCTCTTCGGTTAACTCAACGAGAGCGATACACGGGACATTCGATAAGCTTCACAACATATTAAAACTGTCGTGACGAATAAATTCAATTAATTTTCGTACTAACTCTATGATAATATTAAACGATGATTTATGAGGTAGATAATGGTCTTTACCCAACATTTCCAAGGTAATATAACCTATGCGTAGGCATAGACCTAAAGCTTAGTTTTAATTTAATTATTTTTGATTCATTGTTACTTCTTTCCGCCTTCTGTAAGGCACGAATTCTTTTCTTTTCCTATTTATTATTTCTAACAGATATTTTTATCTATTATAAATATCTTACATAAAACCGAAATTAATATTTAATCTGTTGTGTATACTTTTTCCAGATCAATTATTTTAAAATGTATGTATACAGTACGGTCTCGCTAACCTCGAGCTCTTTGTAATCCGAACACCTTCTACCATTCCCGTAACTAAATTAATGGACTTGTCAACTGTACATCTGCAGTCACGTGTTGCGAGTATTGTTGTTCATTCTTTCTGTCACTTAACAATTATAAACTGTATGTGTTGCTGCGAAGTATCTTACAACAGTAAAAAATGGTCTCAAACCGTAAACGCCATGTCCATACCATTGTCTCTTCGTTAATCCGAACTACAACTGGTCTCAATTAGTTCGGATTAGCGCGACCGTACTGTAAGTAACTTTTATTATAAACGGAATCAAACGAAATGTTTCTCTATTAAGCAAGGTTTCCTTCAAAAGAATCCTGGAAGGGTATATAGAGAGATTGAGAAATATCCCTTGATGTAACCTTGTATAAAACATATTTTGTAAAAAGAATACACTACAATACACGTTCCCGAATCTCTTTATCTCTTGAAAAACATACTCCATCTAAGTGTTTCTTTAAAGATCCAAAAGACGATGTTATAATCTCTGAAATTGGGCAGGGAACATTTCTCAAGCAATAAACACACTAAGCAACACGCACTGTGGTTACTCTGACTTATGCAATGTTTCATACAGAAATTGAACACGTGATTCTTACAATAAGAAAGTGAGTAAACCAATTTCTGAATTTCTTGTGGTAAGAATGATAACTCACACTTCTAAATGAAATTTGTAATTCTGATACTTTGATTTGTATCGAAGATACATAACAACTTATTAATTTATTTTAAAATATAGAATTTTAGTTACAGTGTATAAAATTTAGAAACTGTTTCGAATATTTAAAACATATATAATCATGTCTCTGCTGATGATGATCATGGATGATGCATCATACCTCTTGATGTGTGGGTACTGGAATAGTTTCTGATGTTGAATTTGCTTGGCTTTCAGGTATTAAATTCAATTTTGGTTGAATTGGAAGAGTTTTTTTAGATTTATTTTTGGAAATTCCTTTTGAAGATGCCATTTTTCTACTCCTTTTAGGTTTTAGATTGGATTCTTCTAATCTAACATTTTGAACTGATGATTTATGTTTCCTCTTTCTTGAAGACCTCAATTTTTTGGGTTTTTCTAATTCTTCATCATTTGCTTTGTTTGGTTTAGATGGTTTTGGAGAGATATTTTGAACACCATCTTCGACATCATCCTTTGTAAATTTAGTAATTTCTTCAATATTTCCACTATCTTGAGGATGATGGATTTTCCTCTTATTACGCTTGTTTCTATGATGTTTGCTCGATCTTTTAATCTTATAAAAATCTTCGTAATATAAATATACTGATATGAAGCAGTATATCTAAATATACATAGAAAATTTTAGATTCGAGCTTATAATTTCATTGATTTCAAAAATTTTACTTACATTGAAAGCAATAAAAATGAGTGTAAGTAGAGTAAGACTAATTGCTACCTGCAATATATTAAGTAAATATTTAATATTAAAACTTAGAAAATAATCAATAAACTCAAGTACGAGGTACTACCTCAGATTTTCCTCATGTTGTTCAACTGGAGGAACAAATGTAAAGCTCTGAAGCCATAAATTATGCCGAATTTTCAGTATTAAATACTTTATTAGGGTTTTCAATGTTAAAATACGAAGATAAAGTGTTAAAATAACTAAATTTTATAAGAATATTTAAGTTTTTCATTGTCGAAAGAGTAATTTATGGCTCTCAGGTTTGCATCTATGGTCATCAATGATTATAGTGATAAAATTATCAAAAAGAATTCCTAAAAAGTAGAAAAATAGGAATTTTTTTTGTTTCCCTCAAACTAGATATGTTACAATGCTAGGAATTGCAACTGAAGCATGCCTCAAGTAGTATAGTAGAACCATTGTTGGGCTATTCATCATATCAATAGCCAATGATTAAACGTGTAACGTATTCATATACACTTACAGATATATTTTTTATGGCAATCAACACACAAACTTCTGCAGCTGGTACTCCGATAATCACGACACCCATCCATATCAAAAATGGGATTAGTAGTTTACGAATTTTCTATGGAAATATATACTTCGTGTTAATGACTATGGCAGCTTTAATGATATTTGTTAGAAAACAATAAATATATATTTAAAAATACATGATTATTGATTGCAAATAAGTAATTTTTACCTTTATCAATGCACCAATAACTAGCAAACTCATTAGTAAAAGCACGGACCAAAGTAACCAATTGATGATGGTGTAGGCAAGATAACAAGATGCAGCTGTGAGAAATAACACGAAAATTTTATATAAATTCGCTTCAGGCCTTAAAATATTCTAATTTTAACGTATATTATACTAACAAATTCTATTTTCGTCAATATAAATTCTTCCAAACTCCTTAAAACTATTAACGGCTAATCTCAGAATTGAATAAAACTGCAAGAAAATTATTTTACCAATTAATTTGTAAGCAATATAAAGTGTTACTTTCCACCGCTTTAGGTGGAAATATGTAAACTAATGAGCGCTTCCACAGAAAGGTCGGAGTTCATGGAGCTAGAGATGATTTATCCACTAAAAATAGTGAAGAAAATTACTTGCCATGGAATAGAAGACAATGAAAATAGTAGTTTCTTTACTTCCTTTACAGTGTAAATATGAAAATATTTTCGGTTTTGCCATTTTCGCGATCAAAATTAGAAAGTCCGATCCATACAACAATTATGACAATTGTTATTACGTTCACTGTTAACGAACAATACGCATTAGTACTTATAGTGTCGTAAATATGCTGTTTTCTAATTTAAAATAATAGAATTTCCTGCATATTCACCTATAAAAATATATGTAATATTTTATTATATATAAATGTCTATTTACTATTTGTCTGTCTTCTACAAACTTGTAAATGCTTTGACTAATCTGCACCCAATTTTTCATACTTACTCTCTCAGAACTGTGGGAGCTTGGGGCCGTCAAAAATTGATTACAAAAGTTTTGGGTAGGACCCTGCCACTAGGTCTTTCAGTAACGAGAGAACTGTTGGAGTGTCTTTTAATAAATATTAATAACATTTAGTTTGTATACTTTTAACGTAATTATTTAACGTGGACGATCTGCCAAGGGGAGATACCTCCGGGAGATCTTCTATGAGAAATTAGCTCTTATTTGGGTATTAAACACGTCTATAAAACCCGAAGAACTCCACGTTGCCGGCTCGTCGATAGGCTACAAACTCTCGCCAAGTGTTTGAGAAACTCACTGGGTACCGAAATCACCTTTTAGACAGGAAAGATTTAGTTTTCTACAGTGAATAGTAAATTCAATGGGCACATTACTATGGGTTGATCGAGAGAATTGGATTTTGAGAGGTGTGAGGTAGTTAAATTTCTCAATAAGTAGCAAGAAAATAAATTAAAAGTGAAGAAATATGCTTTCTTTATTCGTCATAATTTTAAAATTACATTTCCTCATATTCGGACAATAGACCTGAAAGAAAATTATGTACACTAAAATAATACATGAATTGCAAGCTGCNCAATTAATTTGTAAGCAATACAAAGTGTTACTTTCCACCTCTTTAGGTGGCAATATGTAAACTGATGAGCGCTTCTACAGAAAGGTCGGAGTTCATGGAGCTAGAGATGATTTATCCACTAAAAATAGTGAAGAAAATTACTTGCCATTGAATAGAAGGCAATGAAAATAGTAGTTTCTTTACTTCCTTTACAGTGTAAATATGAAAGTATTTTCGGTTTTGCCATTTTCGCAAACAAAATTAGAAAGTCCGATCCATACAACAATTATGACAATTGTTATTACGTTCACTGTTAACGAACAATACGCATTAGTATTTATAGTGTTGTAAATATGCTGTTTTCTAATTTAAAATAATAAAAATTTCTTGCATATTCACCTNTTCTGACTTAACGGATATTTTGATATTATTGACGACAAAAGTTTAAAATCATTGATTTCCTTACCTGTCCATTATTTTTGTTTGACGAAGTTGAGTTGTTTGAACCACGTGGCATAAAAAATTTTGTCAAGATCCTGATGAGAATGTGCAGACAACTGAACGTGTGAAAGAAGTCCACTGAGTCAAGACCGTTTACACGTGCAACTATCTATGTTGCTGACTTCGACGGACACACACCATTGGTATATTGTGATTGGATAATTTAAATTAGCAAGCAGTGACACTGATGAGACTTTATTAAACTAATTTTTTCTCATTTTTTCGTTAAGGCGTGAAATATTATTTTGTACCGTAAATGGTACTTGAAATATTATAATGTACTAAAAATGTACTAAAAATCTAAATGTACTTTCAATTTACTGGAAAGGNTAAGTTATGTATTTCCGACCATACTGGTGAATTTTCTTGAGGGCCAATTCCCCACGGAAAATTGCAAGCGACTAGCCCGTTGGTGAGGGGCAAACCCGTAACCACCACCAGTTTTCAGTGTTCTTATCCACTTTGTCACTAGTAATTGATCGCTGTAACGTTTACAGTAAATCCGGAAATTAAAATGATCAATACATAAAATAAATTTTATAAATTATATTTTATTTACATCGAAATATATATATATAAATTCAATTTAAAAGCTTGTACAAGTGTTGTAAAAATCATCCAATTATATCTTTTGGAGTTCCACATGGAATATGATATTTTACTGTTGCAACACAAATACGATGTATGAAACCCAAATTTGAACAAGAAACATCAAACGTGGATATGTAAATTGTAAAATAATATAAAAAAATTAAAACTTTTAACGTAAAGTTGTCTCTGTTTTTTTCTTCTTAATTGTTGCAGATGAAGTAAAACTCTGGAGAAGATTGTTGATTTATGTGATCTGCAAATCTTCTATTCACTCTAATAAAAAAAGTATAATTTTCATATTAAAAATTTTAATTTATGTAAATAATTTAATTAAAGTAACAAATAAGAAAGTTATAATCAAGGGGTGCTTGCAGTCATCAAGCGCCCCTCTAACTTTGTACTGTCACGTTTCGCTACTGGACTTCATGTTCCTCTTTTCTTTACAAAATGGCAGACAATATGAAATTCCGTGAGAAGTATCCTCACGCATCCTACTACAGATACACACGACCCCCTTTATCTCCCACCCCTTCGATCTTTACTCACCAAAATTTAACACCATTATCACCCTAAATAAGTAAATTTCCCTGGAAAATTTCAGAAATTTTCCACAAAAAGAACGGGAGTTATTAAGGTTACTGTGCCCCCCATACAAACACTAACATTCATACATACAGAAAAAAAACGAATTTATTTGCATTTCTCGACCTTCCAAGTTCAAAGATGTAAAAGTCTTGGAGGGTCATTTTTTGACCAAACGTCACACTTTCCCTCTGTTATATATAACAACCGGGGAAGTAATAACTAGTTGAAAATCGTCGATAATTTCAAAATCACGTGAGAAGTTCCTTGAAACTTCCACAGAAAATTGGGGGTAGGAAATTGAATTTTGCATGTAAGAAACGTAGAAAAGTACTCACAAATTCATATTGAAATGATGCAATCTAACTTCATCATCAATACATCCGAACTCGTACTCAAAATTAGAAAGAAGTTTCTCCAAAACGGCGACTTGTCTTATTAATATATGAAGAAAAAGGTCAAAGGAAGGTATCGATAAAATAGTATCTGAAATTAAATTAAATGATAAAATTTGTATACAAGCAAGGAATATTGTATACTTTAAAATGTAAACTGTGTTAAATATACTCACAGTCATCAAATATTAAAATGAATTTGATAAGATAAAAGTCAAGTAATATCTAATAGTTGTAGTATTAACTACGACTTTTGAATGTTAGAAAGTGAAATCAAATACTTACATATTACTTTATTAGATTGCATTCCACGTGCATAGCATTTACTCATCCGACAGAAGTCACATGTTCTGATGTCTGCTCGTTTGACTTCGCACGTCCCCTTACTGTCACATAAAGGATAGAACGAACGTTTCACAATTGTCTCGAAGAAACTATTACACGCATGACAAACGGCAAGCCCAAATTTATTTTCTAACAAGTTAACCTCGTGACAAATTGGGCAAATAGCTATTGCTAAAAGTAATTAAATATTAAAGACTTTAACATTACTTCTTAACATCTAAAAGTACATACCGAATCCATTGTTATGAGTTAATTCGCAATAAGAGCATATACAGTTTTCACACTCCGCCATCTGAAAATTATGTCTAAAGCACAATACTTCAAAGCATTTCTAAGTATTTTTGTAAAAGAAAAATAAAAATTATTGTCATTAAATTGATTAAATACAGAAGCTTCAATGAGGGTTGTGAAAAATAACAAAAAAATTTTACTTACATTCGCTTCATGCCTTAAAATATTCTAATTTTAACGTATATTATACTAACAAATTCTATTTTCGTCAATATAAATACTTCCAAACTCCTTAAAACTGTTAACGGCTAATCTCAGAATTGAATAAAACTGCAAGAAAATTATTTTACCAATTAATTTGTAAGCAATACAAAGTGTTACTTTCCACCTCTTTAGGTGGCAATATGTAAACTGATGAGCGCTTCTACAGAAAGGTCGGAGTTCATGGAGCTAGAGATGATTTATCCACTAAAAATAGTGAAGAAAATTACTTGCCATTGAATAGAAGGCAATGAAAATAGTAGTTTCTTTACTTCCTTTACAGTGTAAATATGAAAGTATTTTCGGTTTTGCCATTTTCGCAAACAAAATTAGAAAGTCCGATCCATACAACAATTATGACAATTGTTATTACGTTCACTGTTAACGAACAATACGCATTAGTATTTATAGTGTTGTAAATATGCTGTTTTCTAATTTAAAATAATAAAAATTTCTTGCATATTCACCTATAAAAATATAAGTCTGTATGTAATATTTTATTATATATAAATATCTATTTACTATTTGTCTGTCTTCTACACAAATGCTTTGACTAATCTGAACCCAATTTTTCGTACTTACTCTCTCAGAACTGTGAGGGCTTGGGGGCCATCGAAAATTGGATTACGAGAGTTTTGGGTAGGACCCTGTCATCAGATCATTCAGTAACAAGAGAATTGTTGGAGTGTCTTTTAATAAATATTAATAACATTTAATTTGTATACTTTTAACGTAATTATTTAACGTGGACGATCTGCCAAGGGGAGGTTCCTCCGGGAGGTCTTCTATCGGAAATTAGCTCTTATTTGGGTATTAAACACGTGCAGAAAACCCGAAGACGTCCACGTTGCCGGCTCTTCGATAAACCGCGAACTCTCGACACGTGTTTGAGAAACCCACTGGGTACCGAAATCACCTTTCAGACAGGAAGGATTTAGTTTTCTATAGTGAATAATAAATTCAATGGGCACATTACTATGGGTTGATCGAGAGAATTGGATTTTGAAAGGTGTGACGTAGTTAATTTCCCAATAAGTAACAAGAAAATAAATTAAAAGTTAAGAAAGATGCTTTCTTTATTCGTCATACTTTTAAAATTACATTTCCTCATATTCGGACAATAGAACGGACAATAAACAAAATTCTGTAGACTAAAATAATACATGAATTGCAAGCTGCATATGTTTCATACCGAATTTTCTACACAGAATATCTTCAAATTTTCTCATTGTTAAACAGAATTACTCAAATTGCTTCGTAAGTTATGAAAAACAAATTAACTTAAATGTAATGCTCATAACCATTGTCTACAATT